AAGTGCCTTGAATCAAGGTTTTCTGCTTTTCTATCTTCAATATCATAGAATAAGCTTTGTTTATGGTGGACAATGGGTCCATTAACAGAATCTGGTTCTTTACCGGCTCAAAAGCCTCATTTAAACACATGAGGAATTGCATTAGTTTGGTTTCCATATCATTTTCAGCAAAAGCTTTCCCAGTTCCACCCATACAATCAGGCAGAGTTATCAAACAAACAAGTTCATCCCAAAGACATTTTAGTTTGGTATAATAGACAGTGACATACAAAGAACCTTGAGCAAAATTAGCAATCTCCTTTTGAAGATGATACTTCAACGGTCCATTACTCTCTCCATACCTTTCAGCTAGTTCATCCCAAAGCTGTTTTGCAGTCTTAACACACATGAAAGCTTCAACTATTTCTTTCGAAATCGAATTAAGCAACCAGGATATCACCATGAATTCAACTTTCTGATATTGTTCATACTCTTCAGTATCTTGTTCAGGCATTTCAACAGTTCCATATACAAAAGGAAGCTTAGATTTAGCACCTAAAGCTAACCTCATGGCTCTGCTCCAATGAAGATAGTTGGTGCCGGTGAGTAGGTTTGTGACAAGTATCATCCCAGGATGGTCGGAGCCATGGAGCGATAAAGGATCTATGTCGCGAGAATAGTTAGATCTGGTAGCTGGCTCTCTTACTTGATCTTCCCTTCGATATTCGTTGCGCGCCATGATTCCTTGCTAATCCCGCTTTGGTACCATGTAGAATTTAGGAAGAAGCTGGAGAAGATAAAATGCGACAGCAAATCGAGAAAACATTTTTCCATTAAATCGAGCTCTGTAAATTGAGCTTACAAGTTTTTGATCTAATGAGGAAGACAAGCCTCACACACACCATATACATGATCCATAATGACCAATCAGAAAACTTACACGTGCATAGCACACGCTTGACATAAAAAGCAAAAGAGTAACTAACAAAAGCGTGAAAGCATTTTTGACACATAAACGCTGAGGACCAAAACAAAAGGAAAACTAAGGATAATAGGGATAAAATGCATAACAAGCATGCACACGTCAACATTAACCAAAATATTTTTTTATCGGAAGTACGATTTAATACAAAATTTTTTCAATAAACTACTATTTATTTAATTTTATTTTTTAGTCCTCAATGTTATTTACACAATTAAAAATAAAAATGAAATAACTATACATGCTCTAACAAAATTCACTATTAGTCCATCCACATATTTTTAACTACTAATCATTTAAATTGATAATTATAATTCTTTATCATATGAAATTTTACCATTACATTTTATCTCATATATTCATTTAAATATTCTAAAATATAAATTATTCCACCAATTTTTTTATTCATTTTCATTCAAACACTTTTCTCAATATGATCTTTATCCAATTTCACCCGCTTTACATATACGCAAAGGGCAACCTAAACAATAAAGGTGGCCAATATAATTTATATAGTTTAATTCAATTTCTTATTAACGTAAGTTTACTAAATATTTTTATTATTCTTTTCTTTTGGTACAAATATTTTTATTATTCTTTTGTTAAACTATAAATTCAAAAAATAATATTTTTATCGACATAACTATATCATAAAATATTACTTGTTATTTTATTACATATTTATATATTAATAAAAATAATATTTTCATTACATTTTTTCGTATTCACTTATTTGAAAATAATCATTATTAAATTTTTCATAAATCTAATTTATATAGTTTCATTTTCTTATTAAAGTAATTTTACGAAACATATTTAATATTTTATTATAAATATGTAAAATATAAATTATAAGAAAATATAAAATAATATTTTTTTCACATGACTATATCATAAACTAAACTTGGTTTGGTTCACATATCTATATATATATATATAAAAAAAAATACCATTTTTTAAAAATAGTAAGTAGAAAATCTAACAATATTAATTGCATGCCAATTTTGGAAATATTTTGAATTTTTTTAAACAACAAAGGCAAGCATTAAATGTAGCCTAAAATTATGGATTTTGAAAAGAAAAAAAAACGTAATTATAGCTTCACAAATTTCACACATGTTTCCAAAATTAAGCATTGTGTTATTTGTCTTCTTTTATTTTTTAGACGAAAAATTGAGAGAAATTAGGATGCATCTATAATTAATGTATAATCGAGTATACCGCTCATAGTTTCAATAGATAAAAATACATAAAATTTACAGTATAATTTTATAATTTTTTTTATATAATACATAATTTTTAAATTTCTATCCCAATGTTTAATAACTAAGATTTATAGATATAATCATATTTATGACGTACTAATTTATAATATTTACTTCATAATTTAAATTGAATATGATTTGTAATCAAAATAAAATGAAATAAATACACAATAAATCTACTGGAATTTTATTTAGTTATTGTAAAATTGTTGACGGTTTTGTATTTACATATGTGGATACACAATAATTGACATCTTTTATATTTTGTAAGCATTATTTTTTTTTTTCCTATTATTCTGAAAAAGTTATTGGAATCATATAGTGAAAATGGGCCACTATTTAGGTGTATGTGAAAAGAAATTTCTGCACAAAAATAAAGCTTTACAGTTTCTTTTATACTACTTTGTATATGCACGTGTTTTAATAGCAGTTTGTATAAATAGCTTTAATAGCTAATTCGACCTGGGTTTTTCTGCTGGCGGCGGCTTTTTAATTATATAAAATAAGAAATGATATATAATCTAAAAATTGTTGCAATTAGTATAATAATATTTAATTTTGAAGGAATTTATTTATATAAAAGAACTCTAATACTATTTTTCATAATTAAAAATATTCATTCAATTATATGTCAACAAAAATTTAAGAATTTTAAAATTCGAAATGAGGGTTGATTTACACTGCAATTGGTATCTGAAAAGAAAAAAGGAGTTTTAAAAACTGAAACAACATAAATCCCTTCATATAAGGGATTTTGTGTCTTTAAATTATAAAAAAAAAAAATCTGAAAATCTGAAAACAAAAAAAAAAGTTTTAAAAGCTGAAACAAATCAACAATATATCTCGGTTTTAATGTTGTCCGTGATATTTTTTTTTTCTTTTTTTTTAAAAAAAAAAAAGAAATTGCCATCAATGGTAATTAATTAATGATAGAAAGAATTTGACAATAGTTTTTTATAAACAGTTATTCTTATTCTATATGTATAGATTTTATTTAATTATTTTATTTATTTGTCTTATATTCTATAAAATCGGTTTAAGAAAAAAAAAATCCATAACATATAAATAATACTTTATTTATTTGTCTGATTCCATAATAACATCGATTTAGTCAAAACAAATCCCATAAAATCGGTGAAGTCAAAAATTGTACGTAAAGTCTATCTATACTAAAAAAAAGGCAGATTCAAAATTCTTTATTTAATTCCTTATCTAATTTCTGTTTAAAGTATCTTATTTAATATTTATTTTAAATGAAATATTGGATAGGATTGCTGGAACTGAGTCAATTTTGAAATCGCGTTGTTTGTTATGAGAGGATTATTCGCATGATATATCTGTCTAAAGTATATTATTTTAGTATTATTTAATTAATTTATTTAATATTTAATTGTTTTATCCATGACATCAGTATTGTCAAAAAAAAAAA